CTCAGTTCCTCTTGGTTACAGCTAATAGCTTTAAAGATTGCTATGCACACGCTTGTCTCTGGTGCAGGGGAGGGCTGTGTGGATTTACAGGCAGAAGGCACCGTTAGCAAGTTTGCAGATGAGGTTAGATAGGCTAACAGACAGGGCTGCTGTTCAGAGCAACCTCAACAGGCTGGAGAAATGAGCTGGCAGAAACCTTATGAAGCAAGGGCAACTGTGAGTCCTGCATCTGGAGCAGCATAGTCCTGTGTGGCACTGTGAGCTAGAGAGCAGCCTTGCAGGAAGCACCCTGGGAAGAGGTGGAAAGAACGTCTTCAGTAGGAAGAAAAGAATGGGATTACAGGCATCTTGCTGCGGTCTCAGCTACCTTCCAGGAGGTAGAAAGGGCAAACCCAGATTCTTTGTACTCTCTGTACAGAGACAAGATAACAGGCAACAAACAGAAGTTGCAGAAGGGAAATTGTGAGTAGATATTTTCACCAAAAAAAAGGTACTATGAGGTTTCTCAAACACTGGAACAGGTTGCATCCTATCATTAGAGAGATTCAAAACTGATCAAAGCCATTACAAGGTTGGCCCTGCTTTGAAGTGGAGGGCTGGGGTGGACCAGAGCTCCCTTCCAAACTAAATTATTCAATGATTCAAAGAGTCTTTATGACTCTTAAGTTTCAGATCATTTTATCTGAAAAAGTGCAATGGAAGCTCATAGACTGTGAATTCCGTATGTCCAGTCAGCGACCTCTGCATTTGAGGCTGCCGTCTTTTAAGAGAGCTTGATCTTGTTCGTGAAAACCTGACAAGTTCCAGCTTCCACTGCTGTAACTAAATAAAACTACCTTCTTACAGGGTTCACACCACTTTTAGCACTTTGGATTAATTATACGACTATTATCCTAATGGAAGCAGCCAGAGTAAGTAATTGAAGACATCTTGAAATAAATTAGATAAATGGTAGCAGAAGCAGGTTTGTGCTTTAAAGTTCAGAGGAAAACCATTTTTAAAATCCAACTGTAAAACTCCCCCAAATACAATGAAATTTACTGCACATTTTTATTGACCAAACTATATTTTAGGAAAGGTTAGAAAAAAAAAATGTGAATCCTGCTACAGCAAAAAACCCACTCTTTATTTCTTAGAATGTCTGCTGTATTCTTACTTGATTTTTGTTGAATTTCAGGAATCCATGCTAAATTATTTTTAACTGAGCACTTAATGCCTAAAGTATTTTTAGGAGAAATCAGCTCATGTCACTAAAAATCCATGCTGCAGAACTTCAGTTTTGTGTCACTGAGTTAGTGCCTTCGCACATTTTTCTAGTACCAAAGTTCTGTCAAAATGGAAATATTTTTTAATTTAATCAACTCTTATAATACTGTTTCTGGTTCCCATCGTTGGTAATAAAAATCAATAAATTATTTTTTGTTATTTCAAGAAGCACAGGTCTGCAGATCCTCATTTAATAAAAGCTGGAAATATGCAGAAAGCCATATATCAGGTGTGCTTTAAAATCATTAAATCATGACTGGATTGCAGGAGATGTAGGAGTTGCTGCCAGTTTCAGTAGAATGCTTTTCTTAACCACCATTACTGTAGTTTAATTTTCAATTTCTCCAGATATTGTGGTTTTTTAGATCTTCTTAAATCCAAGATAGAGTAAAATATTAATTCTGTTCCTAGCTCTGTCCTTGTTTGTTTTAACCACAACCAAAGAGAATATTTCACAACTGGTAATTCAGCTAGATTGTATGTAACTCTGAATATCAAGGTCAGTTCATGCCCTGCTTCTTTGTAATGTTCTTTCCTCTCTCTTTTTTGTGGACATCAGAAATAATCAGTAATGGCCTGAGATTTAGTACAGTGATAGCTTGTAGTACAGCATCACAGATTTGCTGGGTTTTATTGTGCAGTTGCTGGCTTTAATAATTAAGGGAAATATTATTGTGATGAGGTTTAAAGGCTTTAAAACCCTCATTTGTCTCATATCCAGAAACATAATCAGCTTCTTAAATACATTATTGCTGATAGAATTTATAGTTCTTTGTTATAATACTTTTGGCCCTTGAGACTAATTAATCAAGTCTGAAATGCATGTGCTTAATTTTGGTGAGCCAGAGTGATGCGAAATACATAATTAGCCACTTCGTTGAAGTGTGCATATTATGGTTCAGTGACTAATTTTCTGGTCAGTGAATCACAACCTTATGTCTCTTTTTTTGTATTTAAACACTTCGGATTATGATAGTTCTTGTATTTAAAGCCATTCTAGGTGTAAAGATCTAATTCATGCTTAGCATTTTAATAACTGCCTCTGCTTTATGGTTTTCTAAGAGAGAAATGTTTATTCATCTCTCTTTAAATTATAGATTTTTATAATTTATGGCTTATTTTAGTTACAACTTAAACATAATTACATGCAGCATGGTATTTTTAAGGTCATGGAATGTAACATGACAAAAGGTTTGTTTTAGTTTGTAAAAACTGTAATTGTTGGCAACGTAGTATTCCATTTTACAAACTTAGAATTTTTTCTCTAGAAATGATATCAATTGTAGATGGAATGCTTCTAAACATTTATTTTCAGACACTTTGGAAATGTCTCACTTTAAAGCAGTAAATAGTGTGAAAATAAAACGTTCCTTGGGTATTTCTGTTTTGGAAAACATTTGCTTTAAACTTTGTCATTACTTTGAAGCCTTTATTCATGTATCGTCTAACAGCTTCAGGTATCATTGAAGAACTTCATTTTGACATATGATTCAAGCCTTGAAAATCACATCACTGTAAACTGTGAGTGGCTTTGGCATGAGAAGAAAAATTCAATTAATAAGTTTTTACATTTTGATGTCCTACCTAAATTTGTTTGTCTGTATGAAAATATTATTGCATTACAGTCTAATGTGTCAAAACCACTCCTAAATATTCAGGAGTTAACGGCCTTCAAATGCATTACATATTTTCTATTATCAGGTAGAGGGCAGGAGAGAATACAGTATTTGTATCACTTTGTGTGGTTCCATGATTTATCACATTGGTGATCTCCCTCATGTGTTTACAAACATGATGCTCTCTCTACTGTGTATAAATAATACTTATGCATAATGTTTTTTAAAATGTTTGTTTAAAATGGAAGTTATTTTTTTCCATATTTTCTTTTAATTTGTTTTTACATTAGGGGAGACAAATACATAGCAAATACGGGTTGAATCCTTTTTTACTTCATGTAGTAATATCAAAAGTTCCTCCCAAGTGAGACTGAAAACATGGCTGGTTTAGTCTTTGTAATACTTGGCTCTAAAATTAAAATTCAGAGGAAACAGGATCTGACTATGAGTCAGTATGCAGAACAGATGAAGTATAGGGGCCACGAAGAAACATTCTTTTTATTTCAGCCCAAGGTCTTTATCATTACTGAGAACCAATGTCATATTTCATAATAGTAGGATATGAGTGCCAGACTGTGATCTGTTTTGATCAGGGTTAAAATGCTGATGTTATTTCCTTGATTTTGTTCTAGTTTCTGCTGTATTTTCTATAAATGTTTTTGAACTAACACACTTTCTTGCAAATTCCTTTCAGAGCACCTTGTGTCATTATTTCAAATGGAGTCACTAATTCTCACCTTTCTTATCCTTTTGGAAGTAATTACTGACTTGGATGTTTTGATGATGTTGGAATAATCTCCAAATTGTGTTCCTTTCTGTAGTGCCTGACTTCATACAGTCTGACAAATTGTTTGGCATAGGAAAGGGACTCACGGGCATTCACTCGTGGGAAGTTGGCTTACGCGTGGATGCCAAATCCCAAATGACTTTAACAGTGATAGGCAGTATTAATGAAAATCATTTTCTTACATGGGATACAGTAATAGGCAGTACTAACAAAAATCATTTGCTTACATGGGATATAATGCACATTTCTACCTCTCATTCCAATAATAAATTAAATTCAACATTTGAGCCAAATGTTGTGGAAACACATAATTTACCATATGCAGTATCTGTGTCACCTGATCATGCTTTTCAGCTCTGCATAATACTTTTTTCATCTATAATTACCTAATTGTCTTTCTAGCCTGCTAAGAAAATATTCCTTCAGCATGACATCTTTCGATTGTGCTTTTGTTCGGTAGTTTACAGTGTGTTGGTACTGTATAATGTGTGTTTATCATTAATACTATAGATAGCAAAATATCTAATTACCATTATGCTGCTGTGCTGAAAAAAAGTGTTACAGTCTAAGCCAACTCTGAATTTCAGTTGCTGAAAGCAAGATTGGTAAGCCGCCTTGTAAGTCTCAACCAAGAAAGAGACACTTCCCTTTGTCTTTTGTTAAGCCAAAGAAATGGGCTCCCAGTGTTCAGCAATAGCTGACAGTGGAGAAGAATGCTCCTTAGCAACAGAAGTTCCTGAAATAAAATAAAGGTTTAAGTGCAGCTTAAAATTAGGGAAATAGTGTCTGTCAGATGTAAAAATGCGGAAATAGATTCTCTGTTATAGACAGGAGGAAGGCAAATATAAAAGCTCAGAAATATCTTCTAAGTCAAGATGGAGAAAGACATTACTCTGGTGCATGTTCCTTTCACTACGAGCTGCCAGAAGTGTGTCTGTGCTGTTACTGTGCATCTGGTCTTCTGTAGGCTTCTGGGAAACACATTGCTCTAAAGGGAATGGCAGTGATGATACATTTTTTTAAAATTGCCCCGCTCTAGGTCTGTGTCTGTAACGCTCAAACTCAGAGAATCTTTTTTACCAGAATTTGGAGTGAAGGCTTGAGTGGTCACTTCTTTTTTCCCCCTCCTGTGAATACTGTCGTGGTCTGATCACTCCTAGTCTTACGCACAGTGCCCTTCTGGCAAACGTCATCCACAGAACACATTTAAAACAATCACAGCCATGTGTCTTTGGAGGAAAAGGCTACCCTCTGTACAAGACACAGCTAAAAATTTAGAACTCTGGTAAAACAATAGGAGTAATATTTTTTTTCACTAATGTTTTGTATAGGTTTGTAATTGGACGAGAAAAACCGGGACAAGTGAGTGAGGTTGCGCAGCTGATTAGCCAAACTCTAGAACAAGAACGCCGCCAGAGAGAGCTGCTGGAGCAGCATTATGCACAGTATGATGCAGATGATGATGAGGTAACAGACTGTCTAGTGTTTCACTATTTGGTGTTTTTTAATGTTCTGTTTTCTATTCCTGATTCCTTCTTTTTAATTGTCACTCAGAGGTCAGCTTCTGGCCCTCTCCATTACCTCTGCTGCTGATTTTTACAGATTTTGATGATGGATCTCATTTGAAGAACAAAGTTACTGAAAAGCTTTTCAGCATGGATTTAAAATATTTGTTTTGTTCCAGAAGAGCAAATATCAAATTGGTCGATGCTTCTGTAATCATTGCTCTTCCTCTGAAGGCATATGCTTTTCTGAAATAAGGGAATAAAGTTGGTTTGCTTGTGCACTGAATCATTAGTTTTTTTGTGAAAACTGTAAAAGTCAGCTTCTAACTTTTAGGGGGTTGAGGAAGTTCTAGACCTTTTTTATTTTTCCTGGAAGAATTTATGTTCTTCTTAATTCAGAACATTAAGAAATTTTCTGAACAGTCCAGGTAAGACCCCTCCTTCCACACGCTGCTTTTTGTTTCTGTGTGAACAGATATTCCACAGGACAGAGAATTAATCTACCTTGTCTGAAGAGTGTATTGATGTTCACAATTAGTGCCTGATGTCCCAATACAAAGGTTTTGAAACTATCAACTTTATACAGTAAATTTTCCATAATTTCTTTCTGTTCTCTTAAAATTCCTAATATGCCTAAATACCAAGATACTTGGAAAGCTTAATGAGAGCTTTTTCAAAGACTACGGTCTGTGTTACTCTCTAAATTAGCTAGTGGGTTAAGGTAAAAGGCAGTTGTTTTAACAAACCACTTCCACATAGCTCAAGCATACCACCTTCATTTTGCATTATCTTGAATAATATTATTTGAAATGCCAGACTCCGTGTATTAGTGTGTTTTCATCCTGGGCCAGATTTTTTATTTTATTTGTGGAAGGGGGCGATAGAGAAGGGGAAACAGAGAATTCACGCTATGCATTTATTTCAGTTTAGTTTTCCTTTAGGTACTGAGAGAAGGCTTCTAAACAGTAAAATAGAGAAAAAAATACTCTGAGATAAAATCAGGATACACTTGGATTTTGAAACACACTGTTAAACTAGCAATAAGTCAGAACAATCAGAAGCGTCCCAGAAGACTTAAGTAAAAATCACGTCTAGCCCCGGTGATTTTTTCACTTACTTGAATTTCCACTGATATTAAAAATAAAAATATTTTAATATGTTTTAGAATGAATCCTGTCATAGGTGCATATTTAACTCATATAAATAAAAGTTGTACTCATCTGTATTGGGGAAGCATATGTATGTGTGCCTGTGCGAGACCGTGAAGGCTAGAAAATCCATATCCTCTCTATTCCCTCCTCAAACTATAGAAATATGCAAGTCTTCTAACTTCTGTTTAGTCTCGAATTAAAATTCAAGATCTTGACTGATTTATTGAAGGAACTCTATAATTTTCTCAAAAACAAAAGAGACAACTCCCTCTATCCTTTGGAACAAGAGACTTCTCATAACTTATCACAGCATGCTATACACATTACAGTTTGAAGACCTGTGATATCATTTTATGGTAAACATAGTCTGATAGCTTTCATATTGGCAGGAGAGGTGGGTCCTGATGCTCAAATGCTTCTCACTGTGTACTTGCACGTAGAGGGATGTGCAGCTGAAGGCAGACCAATGTAATTCATGCATTACACCTTTTACCTAGAGGACGCATCCACCTGCAAAAAAATCTCAAAGGTTTGTGTTGCTTACCTTCATGCACCACACAGATGTCATAACTCAAGATCTGGCAATAAAGAAAACGTTGTTAAAACCGTATAGATCAATACTGATCCTGGTAGTACCTCAGCCTTCGGTAGGGATTCTTGCTGTGCTGATGCTGGCAGTGACACTTTCATACTGATGACCATGCAAGTGTTTCTCAGCACAGTAGTGAAAGAGGACAGCGATAAGTAGGTATCGGATACTTTTTGTGATGTGTCGTCTTGTCCTTGCAATTCAATGGTTACAAACTCTTAAGCCCTGTTCACTGCATAAATTTTTAACACCAGAAATGCTAAATGCACAAAGTGTTTTCTATTGGTTGTGCCTTTGGATGATAGAGAGAAAATAAGATAAGGCAAGTGATTAATAGAGTTAAAGGCATCTTTTCTTATCGTAGCACTACATTGAGGATGATGACCACCTCTGTGACCATGATATGCTTTTTGGCCGTTACTGTTTGCAGTGCAAAGGGGACTTTTAAGCAGTATGTGAGGAAAGGAGGAAGAAGAAAGGAAAAGACGTAGAATCATAGATTCATAGAATTATTTAGGTTTGAAATGACCTTTAGGATCATCAAGTCCAGCATCTACCAGGGGAGATCCAGAGTGTCATCCAAGATCTCTTTTGGAAGGAGAAGGAGTTAGGCATCAGAACAAATGCAGTACTTCAGTTCTCAAAAACTACATTGGGATTACTGAAGATCATACCCATTTCCTACTTGATGCCATGTATATATTTGGGAGGGGGGTGGTAAAACTTACTCTCAGAATAGACGGCTGGGGTGTAGTCACTAAAGTATGCAATGAGGCATGTTCCCTTTCTTAATTAACAGACTTAGCAGAAGTAGATTTTATTGGGAACCTGCAGCAATCCTGAATATTTTTATTTTTGTCACCTGACCGTGCTGTCCAAGTAAACTCATATACCTTACACCATTCCCAGGCAATTGACACAATGGAAGCTGTGACCTAATACACATTAGACACAGTTCAAAGGCATTTTTGGTCACCACAAGCACTTCTGCTCCATTTCCTGTCAAATACGAGCATTATTGCTTGGAGCTCACGTTGCTCCGTGAGGGCAAATGTGGCTGGGTTTATGTTGCTATATGCCACACACCACTGCCAGCCCCATATTTTTTGGCGCTGGTAAGCAGGGCATCTTCTGGGCAAGAAAATCTCAATTTACACTGTCTGAATGAATATCCACAAATGTACAAAAAACCTACCCTTTCAAGTCCGTTTCCTCAAAGTGATGGTGATTCTGACTGCATGAAGTTCAGGAATATTTGGATTGCCAGGCTAAGGAGTTTCATGCTGAGGTGGCACAGAATTATACAGGAGTTGCTCAGTCTCAGAGCTGTCAAACTGTCCTATTCATAAAATATGGTAACATGGATCTCCAGCTACAATGCTGCATAAATAAACAAGAAAATGATCTTTATTCAAACCTCCATTGAGTCTGTCAAATTCTGAGCCTCAGAGACGTTACCACAACGACAACAATAACATATCAGGTTTCCGGAGCAGGAAATCAGTGATCTGTGTTTGAGTCCCGGAGTCACTGCACGTGACTGTGTTTGGTAGAGCTGGCCAAATCACAGGAAGAGAGCGTGTGCCAGGCATGTGCAGGTCCTGGTGTTTTATCTTGCTGTGCCACCAGCTGGCTGGATTTCCTCTGTTTTGAAACTTAGGACAGTCTTCATCATAGCCCAACCAGCACCTAGCTATTTTAGAAGGATCTAAGTTCTTTAAAATAGCAGGATTATTGAGACAATTTTGACTTCTGCCAGCCAGTGTGCACTGGACTTGAGTCAGATGCTAAATTAGAGAGACTTGTTAGCCTGCTGTAACTTCTCATTCCATTGCCTTGCAGGAATGTTACATGACAGTTATTTGTTGGGGAAGATTCACACTAATACACAGTGTTTCCAAAGGATATATCATTTACTATATAGGTAATCCTGAAAGAAACATCATTTACTGTATAAATGCCCTGCATCCCTGCATTTCAGAATCTGCTGTTGTTATGGGCTGCAGGTCGTCACAGGGTTGCAGGATGCTTTCAGATGCTCCTTCATTTAAGTCTTTGCATGGAAACATGAGAACCTTGTGCAGAACTGATGAACACTGAAAGAAGAGGGATGCCCACAATGGGGTCTGTGCAAATACAAGCAGGATAAATGTGCAACAGCTCACAATTTGTTGTTAAGCTCCTACAAGTCAAGCAGAGCCAGTAGTATTGGTTATTTCTCAAGTACTACTTACTTGAGTAGTGTTGGCATTTCCCGATGAGCCTGAGCTAACTACAATAAGGCTGGGAGAGTATGTTGTTTCAGGTGCTGCCTCTAGATAGCCTGCTGCAGAGTTTACTCATTACCAGTTCGTCTAGCTTCCTAAAATCCCACATCCTTTTAATTTGCTGTATCCTGTCAGAAAACAAAACTCCAAGGCTTTGAAGTAGGCACTGTCTTTGTATTTCCTACTTAGTGTGTTAAGTACGACCTGAGCCTGTATCCTTGACTGAAACCTTTTGACTTCCCTGTGTTAACACAGTGTTCTGTGCACATTTTAGTCAAATTCCACCATTTCTTGGAATTTTGATTTGAACATGGTATTATCTTCTTTGTGTTCTACAGTGAATGGCAAAAGTCACATAAAGCAGATGACCTGTTCCCCTGACGACTGCACATGGTGATGCGGCATGTGACATTAATAACATATTGCAGAATTCTATTCACTCTGTGGCCAGGGACAAGTAGTTTTATGCAAGTGACGTTTTAATGTATTTTAATATCACTAATAGTCATTTGAGTATTTTTTAATTTTTAATTCTTATTTATCAGGACATTCTGAGAGCAAAGCAACAGTAGAACCAGTGAAGAAAATCTTGACACACACGAAAAGAAAAATGTTGCAACGTGCTTGAATGTCTAAGACCCAGAGAATACATTTGTTAAACAAGATCTTTCAGAAAGTACAGTTTTTCCAACATCGTTAATATGAAGCACTCCTGTAAAAGCAATGATTGATACTATACCATTATATTTTTCTTTGCTCTTTTGAAAGAATTAAGTATAAATCATCAAAAAATCAAATGAAGAGGTGGGCTTGAGTTATTTCTGTAGTTCTTCAAATGGTGTTCCCTGATTGTGGGAGAGATTCAGCACAAACAAAAGATTTAGCTTGATGCAGCCTTTGTTATGGTGATTTGGGCAAGGTCTGTCTGCATTATCCTGGCTGGTGCTGCTGCTCATTCTTTCTGCTTGGGAGTGTTAGGCCCATTTCAAGAATTTACAAGGCAGTTAAACAATGTGAGTAACACATTTTCCCTTTTAATGTGGGAAATTGCAGTTCATGTTTATAAAGATAATTTCATGCTATTAGCTGTGATAGCATATAGAAAAATGGCTAATACCAGAAACTATTGCTGTGGATGGGATAAGCTTAAGCCTTACATGCTACTGAAATGAGAAATAGGTCTTTTGCATGGATGAATTTTGCTCACCAATACAGACTGAAGAGTCCGAGATTTTCCTTCAAGAGCATGTAAGTTTTCATTGACTATTGAGTAAAATAATAATATTGTTGTTGTCAGCTAAGAAAACAAAATGCAAGGAACTTCAGGCAGCTATGATAACAACTGTTACCTTACAAGGCTTTGTTATTTTGAAGTAAAATAACTTTTGTCTGTGCCTTGCTGCTTTTTGTAAAACACTGAATTTCCCATTCTAGCTTACTGGCGCAGGGTCTGAACAACCTTCTAGTAGTTTCATGTGAAACAGAAGTCAGCAGAGAAAATTTTTTTCGGGAAGAGTATGTTCCATGTAGTTTATGACATATATTTCCTTAAAGCACATACCGGCTCTTTTGAACCTGTAATTGTGTTTCATGTGATTATAAGATCGGATCCCTTTCTTTTGAAGACGAAAGCAAAAGTCCCATTTATTTCTGTGTTCTGTAATGTGTTTGTGTCACCCTGCTGTCTTGTTTACCTGAGCAAACTGCAGTGCTTTGCTTTTATGACTACTTTTTGCATTAATTGAAGCAAAAATGACTGTGCCCATTGACACTTATTATGTACAATTTGAAGCAAGATTTTCCTTTGTGTTCATTTTAAGCTGCCTGATGTCCCTCTTCAAAGGCTCTGGCTCCTCAGGCCAGCAGAATATTGCCTGCTCTTGAATTTTTCCCCGGTATAACTTAGTCCTTCATATGTGTTCATTTTTCTTTTTGTATGAAGTACTTCTTTTTATTTTAAGTCTTTGGAGGAATCGGTTTTAACTAAATTCATCTGTTTTATTCTTTTACCAAAATTGGCAAATACATTTAGGATTTTGCATTGAATTAATATATTCCTTTAAAACACACATGTAGCTGAGACAGATCTGGTTTTTTTTATGTAAACTGGGCATGAGTTTGCTAGTTAACAATCCTATTTCTGCCTCTTCTTTGCATGCTTCAGAGATTTCCTTGGCACTGCTGATAGACCTGCCAAGATGGTTTTTTTCATGTAAAAATGAGAGTTGTGTATCGCCTTACAGATTTTTCAGGGATAATGACTGCAAAATTGACAGTACATGGATTGTGGTAGTATTTTGTCCCCACAATAATTCATTTCATTGAAATCTCACTGGGATTTTAGAGTTAGTTGTTCCGCATCTTACCACCCTGATGGTGTGTGAAGGTGGTGTTACGTGCTCCTGGAAAAAGCCAAGAGAGTTAGCAGCCTAATTTTTTGTTTAGACAGTGTCTGCGCGTAGCTGTGTGGAACAAAATAGAAACAGAAGTTGCCACAGGTGTAGCGTAACAGATTTTGTGGGTGGGTGTGACATCTAAATATACAGAATGATAAACTTAATTTCAGGTGTTGTTTTGTTTAGCTGTAATGTTGACGTGCCTGAAAATTCCAGTGAGATAGATTGTGTGTTCTTTGCTTCTGTTTTAAATCAGGAAAAAAGAAGCAAAAACAGCTGTTAACTTCTTTTGTTGAAGACTACTGAGATTTTTAGTACATATAAAGTATGTAAAATAAATGGTTATTGTTTATTTCACTGGAGAATATGTAATTATTTATAAAGACAGAGATATCTCTCCTAAGAAATGGCTTGCATTAACAGTGACGTTTCAAGTATGGATGGGTTGTGCATGTTGGTGACTTACCTTCTTTTTAATAGTTCTTTTAACATCAGAAGATTTTACCAAATCATTCCATGCTTTCATAGAATCATAGAATGTCCTGAGTTGGAAGGGACCCAGAAGGATCATCGAGTCCAACTCCTGCCCCTGCATAGGACAACCCCAAAATTCACACCATGTGTCTGAGGGCGTTGTCCAAATGCTGCTTAAATGTTGTCAGGCTTGGCGCCGTGACTGCCTCCCCGGGGGAGCCTGTTCAGTGCTCCACCACCCTCTGGGTGAAGAACCTTTTCCTAATGTCCAACCTAAACCTCCCCTGGTGTATCTTCCTGCCGTTCCCTCAGGTCCTGTCATTGGTCGTCAGGGAGAAGAGATCAGCGCCTGCCCTTCCTCCTTCCCTTGTGAGGAAGCTGTAGACAGCGATGAGGTCTCTTTCTGTGTGTTTTAGCTTTCTTTGTTTTTTAAAACTTTAGTGGTTTTAAAAAAAGGAGAATGTAGATTTTTCATGATCTTTAAAGGTCCCTTCCAACCCAAACCATTCTGTGATTCTGTGATTCTATGTGCTATTTATCCAAGAAATGATGATGTTTTATTGCAAGTATATCACCCTGTTGTTGGATGTATACATATATCTTTTGTGTTTGTATGTACTTGTGCACCTAGACTTAACATGCTTCCATGCACTGCTTTTTAATTGAGAGAGATTTACATAAGCCTAAACAACAGCTGGGAAACTAAATTAAGGTAGGAAGTTGAGATTCGAACTGTTGTTCGGACATCTGAGTTCTTACCTGTTGTTTTGAAAAGTTCTTTTGACAAAAAATTACACTAATAGATAATCCTAGCACTACTGGGAATATATTTCTGATAATAATATTATGTGCCTTCATCTCAGGAACTGAAAGCTCATGAAAAAAAACTTGATTAGTTCTGTCAAAATTTTGGTGTTACTACTGTGTAAACATGAGAAGGACTGTACCCCTTCCCCCACCCTTCCTTTTCCATGTATTTATTGAGTCCCAAGCTGTACAAATCCAGATGTGGCCCTGAGGGAAGTGTTTGCTTTATAATATGCTTGCATAGCCATTTGCATAGCCAGCAGGCTATTCGTGATCCGTACGCGATGTACTCCGGCTTCCAGAGGGAGCCTGACTGAAGCAATGTGGTACCCAGCCACCTTAGGCATGGGGAGAGATGAGCACAGGTGTATGTGCAAAAGATTGTCTAGGCAACTTGGGGTTTAATATTGCGAGCTTTTTGTTGTCAATATTATTGTTTTATTTTGTTTAATCTTGAGATACTGATGGTAGCTTACGATTTTTTAAAATTCCGTTTTGTCAGCAAATTTTTCACATCTCATGGTTTACCAGCCCAAGAAACACCTGCATTTTCTGTTTAAAACTAGCTAGAAGCAGCTCCCTGTTCAGGGTGAAAATTCAGTAAACTCTGACTTCAGTCTCTGAACTTGTCTCTGACACTTAGTTTGTTTTTCCTGCTGTTGTTTTTCTGTGTGGGTGTGACTTTTCTGTCATTAATTTGTTTATAAAGAACAAACCAATAGATTTTAAAGTTCAACATGGAATATCACTGGAGAATTACTTCCTCCAGATGGCTTACAAAAGACTAATCAAGATCCTGTCGGTCCTATTGTGCTTTTATTTCTGTTTGGAAAAGATTCCTTGTTAAATCTGAGATAAATTTGGAGAGTTCTTCCTATGGGAGAGAGGCCTCACTTGGAAAAGGATGCAAACCATTGAAATATAGAGCCAGTAATGCTTAAGCACTAAATTCTTATTGCTTAAGACACTGTTTTCTTCTCTCTCTTAATGTTCTGAAATACTACTGTGGAGTTGTGTTTTGTCTGGTAGAATTCATAAGTACTGGGATTATAGCTAAAGAAAAAGATAACCTCTTTTGTATGCAGTATGCTGTGTTTGCACAGTAGCTTAATTATTCTTTGCACAGTCTCTGCCTAATAAGAGGATAACTGGAATTTCTTAAATGCTATAAAATTAAGACAGGGGAATATGCTACAGATGAAGAAGATGAAGACATGGGACCTGTCCTTCCAGGAGGTGACATGGCTATTGAAGTGTTCGATCTCCCTGAAAATGATGACATGTTCTCCCCCAGTGATGTGGACACCAGCAAGCTTGCTCACAAATTCAAAGAGGTAAGTTATAGGTCAGAAAATATTCCTGAAATATCTTATTGGAATTAGATTCCTAGTTATCTCTTTGCTCAGTGCTTGTTTTTTCTCTTGAAAACTAGAGCTGATTTGTAGCTGTTTGAATACTTGGTACTTTTGAATGACTCAAAAAGTTCTGCTTAAAAGAAGTGAAACTGTTCTTTGCAGTTGTTTTAGCATCAGCTTTCAGGTGACTGTTGCATTGATGGAGGATAATTTATAATTTAAGTTTTCAGCACAGAAGTTATTCTGCCTCAGCACTTAGTTTGCATTTTTTGACCAGGAGGACAGAGTGCAAGTTAATTCATTGCTAACAGATTGCTGCCTTTTTTTTTTTTTTTTTTGTAAGATTCCAATCAAAAGTGATCAGGAAAACCAAACAGCAAATGCTAAATTACAGTGAAAAGGGACATGTGGATCTCATCCTATACCATTACGCAGTGACTCGTCAATGTATAGCAGTGTCACATGTTTGGCCATGTGTTTAGAAAGATGCTGTATTGGGGAAGCAGGCATATTTCAAGCTGGTGTTTTGGTTACAGAGTTTGTATAGCATCCACTGGTACTAACTGGGGCTTGAATCAGTGGTGTTCATTGCGGTCACTGAATTCATATAACTTAACATACCAAAGTACTGAGAAACATTTCTTCTGTATTTTAGGCTGTGCTTTTGATGTGGTTTATTTCTGAACTTTCCTGAATTCTGGTGCAAATAAAGACATGAAACAATTGGTTTATCTAAGCCCACAGTAATGGGCTGAGTGATGACAATAAAGAACATTTTTCTTTTTAAATACAGGAAGATGGAAGGGGTGAAAGTAGCCAGAACCTCAGGAGATTTGAGCAGCAGAACCTGGGCCCAGAAAAGAGTTTTAAAATACAGAGGCTCTCTTTTTATCCTTCTTCCCCTGTCCTCTCCCCTTCCCCTTCCCTCCACTGAAACCAGATATTTTATCTTCTATAAATATATGTTGTTACTACTCTCTAGTGAGAGTAATGTATGGAAAGTGATCAGTCAATGAGCAACCAGTCTTTCCCTTTTCTGCTGATACCCTTTTCAGCCTTTGGATGCCTACTGTTATTCATTGTTTTTTCCTGAAAGTTTTTTACTTTACTTAAATGATAATTTTCTCACTCCATATTTCAAGTTCCAGGCTCTTATGCAATTAGCAGAACAGTTTACTTCATTTTCTAGTACTTTGCATCATACATAGTGATACTTTCTCAAAGCAGTAGGAAGGTGCTACCATTCTGACTGTGCCAATGTACCAAGGCGATGCAAACCACAGATGCAGTGATGGGCCAGACACCACTCACCTTTGAATAAATTACCTGTAAAACTATGCTTGAATACAGTTTCCATCAACTTGGGCTATTGCCCTACTACAGCACGTCCAAACTGATTTGAAGCTGTTTGCAGACCCGTGTGATGCAATGGCCTCAAAACGCTGGTGTAGAGGAGATCAGATGAAGGGACTTTGGGATCCTCCGGTGTAAGTGCAGATGAGAGCCTGAGAAGAAAAGATTAAATGCTCCCGCATAAGAGTGGACTCTTTTTCACTAACCCATGCAGTTACCACTGTTATGAGCATGCCACTTTTGTTTCACTGATTGTATTTAACAGTACACAGCTGCATTTTGTTGGCTGCTACAGAGTGAGTATATGTATTTTTCTTGGTATTTGCCCTGAATTCTTTCAACACTAGAGGACTTGTTCACAATCACACTGCACAAGCCCACACAGTGTTTTCTGGAATTGTATTTAAAGAATAACTGTTCGTTCTTGTTCTTACTCCAGAGATTAATGAAAGTATTAAACAAGTGGGTTGGACATAATCTTTAAGCATAATAGTTTGACCTAATTAGTTGAATTCAGTCTTTGCAATGAAAAATGTGCTTGCATACTTTGAGAGCACTCTTATTTGAAATGCCTTGCTTTTGGAATGAAAATCAGAAGAGAGATGGGCATTCCTGGGTGAATCACTGTACTTCTGCAAGTCTTGTTTTCCTGGCTGTAAAACAGGAAAAATGGGACTGATTTTCCTTAACTGCTTTGAGAGAAGGAGCTAGAAGCTTTATTTTAGCTGTGATGATTGAAGAGAGACAAGATCTGTAGGGAGAAAGGATATCTTATGGAAGAATTAGGTATTATAGTTCACGTCTTAATGAAATATATGAAAAATGGTTTATTATTATATTCAAAAATATGTAATGATTATATAAAAATTGTCATGGATATTATTAGATTCCATTGGGTACTTTCCCAGCATACTCTGGATATTTTAACATTTGCTAGCTTTTTGTCCCATTCTACCTTTTGCAGTCTTAGATGAATTCGCTCCATTTTCTCTCCTTATCTTATTTTGTATAAAAAGTTTTATTGTTTTGAAGAAAATTAATCAGCTTTTCAAGACATCTTTGAAAAGGAAATGTGCCAAAAATTATTCAAAATGTCTGTTAAAATGATGTCTTCACAGTTTTATATTGACTTAGAAAACATAAAAATACAAAATAGTATCTGCCAAGAATTTGTTTGGCATTATATGGGACATGGAATAAGGTATTTCTGCTCCTCTATTAGAAGCTTGCTTAAAAATTGTTAACTATAGAGTCTGGATTTGATTGCCAAACATTTGACCTTGCCTGTTGTTTAGTCTAACCTATAAACGCGTTAGTATTTCTCATCTATTCTGCAAGCATAATTAGTTCTTTAAAAAAAGAAAAAAAGAAGAAAGTAGATGTCCAGCTACACATTTGTCTGTTTGGCAGGAAAGTGTCTTTTTTCTTCTGCCTCAGTGGGATCTGCTGTACCATGTACTGATTCAATGATCTGACTGGGTGTTCAGTATTCATTTTTTTAACTTAATAACAGAGTATAAAAATAACTGTTAAAACCATCTGTACCTGAGCAGATTGTCATTTATGCAAGAATTTGGAGTTTATTTGTATGTAATAATAAGCTGTTTAAGTGCTGCTTATGGGTTTGTGGGGTTTTAGAAGAGATGGGAATGGACTGTAAGCAGGTAGCCTAAGGCTTTCAGCCTTGGCTTTTTTGATTTCATTATTAACTCTGCAAAGGACAAAGTCCAGCTCATTCATCCTTCCCCTGATTTTATCTCACTCCAAAACCATGAGGTAGCAGAACTAAGCAAAGGCCTGGGCACTTTATAAACACCATAATATTTTGAGATGGTTCTTTTGTAATTTTTCACTACTAACAGAAATGGAATGATGAGAAAAAACAGTTCTCGATCTCTGAAAATTGCAGATCAGAGGTTGGATTGAGTGAGCTCAAAAATTGCAAGTAACCTCTTGCAAATGCTAGTTAAGGTATCTCCTTAGTTTCCCTTATTATGTATAATTACAGAAAGTTATATATCCTTCTCGGCTTCCTGGTCTACTGGGTGGAGGAGCACCACTGGCCAGTTCTTGCCGTTAATACCAGCTCCTGGGCTGCCGAGTGCGCTGTTCCCAGCTGCCCTGGCATCTCTCCGTCCTGGCCCAGCAGCCCTGCTCTCATGTGGCACTTCCCAGGAACCCCGTGTGACCCGCGGGTTAGCTGCGTGCTCGGGGCAGCTTCGGTCCTCTTCCACCTGCTAGCGTGCCTGGTGTGCCTCCACATTTGACATGTTTCTGCAAGCGCTTATAGTCAGTGACTGGTTTCATTTGAAATGAAATCTTCTATCTGTTTTCACCAAGCACTTGAGGATTCATTACACTTTTCAGTGCAAAGTCAACGTGAGTGTAAGTAACAGATGGTCCTGGGGACAAGAAGTGCTTAGAGTGTCCTCTGGAAACAGTGACCAAGAAATGAGCAGTGGAAAGACGATTCCTAAACTGTTCCTCAGGTGGAACTGGTTGCATCAGTGCCTCCTTTATTCCTTCCAGCATAAATTCAGTAATTCTTCACCAGAAAGAACTAGGATTATTCACTAGATCAGTTGAGGCTGATTTGCAAACCAAACTGCATCTGAGAGTCTGCATTTCCTATGTCACCAGAAGTGCGTTCAGGAGGCCCCATGAAAAGGGAATTTCAAAAGTAGCTCAGCCTTTCTGAAAGATACTTGTACCGGTCAGCCCTGTGATGGCTCCTGTTATTTTGAAAATTACTCCTCTCCTCCAGAATAACTTCTCTTTTGAATTGTTTGTGCATTTTTTTACTAACAGCCTGGTCTTCAAGAATGTAGCCATTGCTTTACCAGAGATGATAATTTCTGGTTCAGTACAACTCCCTCACGTACTCCATTAGCTCAATATAAACTGTTCCCAAAGGCTTCTGTTAGCCTTGTAAGAGAAGTAACCCCCATGTAAAACATGCTTTTCCTTAACTATTCCTGGTATTCATAAATAATGGACGAAGGCTTTGTCTCCATTGCAGTGCCAGCTCAGGCTGTAATTCAGGTTTTGCCCTTGCCCTCAACCCAACACACACAAGTCACTGAATCAGACTGAACAGTGCTTTAGATTTAAGGTTTGGGAGCCTGTCAGAAGTTTGTCTGTGCTGCCTGCTTTAAATAATAATGCAGCAGGGATTTGGGTGCAGACCAGTATTGGGTGCACGTGCATGATCATTTCCATTTGGATTAGGGTTATGCTGTGGAAGCTGTGGTTCGATTTGTATTTCAGAGTGTTCTTGGAGCCTGGAAATAGCAGAGCTTTGGGGTGGAACTAAAGATGTTTCAGGACATTGCCTAATACGCTCGAAGAGCTAATGAGTACTCACTCCACAGGATCAGGCTAATGTAGGTTAGTCCAAAAGAAATGCCTCCGGAAAGTGTGCAGGTGGATGCCAGGTCGTCAGCACCGACCCTTTCACTGTACAGATCCGCTGTTATTGTGGCACGCGGCTTGGTAATGTAACTACAACCTGTAGCACACTGCCTGTGCTGTTAATCTGCTTGCAGTCATTTTGTGTGCTTGAATGCTGTTTCCTGTTTTTTACAGTTTCTCATATAACTGCTCTCAGTTGAGATTAGCTAGCTTGAGCAGAATAACTCCAGCTAATGGTGGAGAAGGATAGCATCAGTTTACCTTTTTTCTTGCATAAAGGAAACGTGTGGAATCTTCCCTCAAGGTTTTCCTGACTTCTTCAGTTGTTAAATCACTTATTTCCGTATTTGCTTTTTTGTAACATGCCTGCTTTAATCAATGCAGTGGGACTTTCTGACAGCACTGGGACGTATTTCACGTTCACATCAGAGGAGAGCAAAGCCCAGCAGGATAACATCTTTTTTCTTTTAAGCATAAGACATTTGGTTTTGCTAAACAGATTGGATGTTCAGATTTGAAATTATGAGTGGTTAGACGGCATCCTATCTTTAATTAGGTTGCACAGACTGAGTCATTTTGCAAGCTAGACATTTTAATTTACAATCTACTGCACTGCAGCACTCTTCAAGGCCTTCTGCTATGTAATAAGGTATTCAACTTGCAGCACAGGCTTTAAAAATACTGGAGTATTCTCTGTGACTTCACTTGTTTGTTTTATATTTTCAATTTTAGTTGCAAATCAAACATGCAGTTACAGAAGCTGAAATTCAGAAGCTGAAGACGAAGGTAAGAATCAATATATGGTTAATACACGCTGTTTTTTTCCTCTCATGCAAAATCAGATCTGAAGACATGTATCTTTATGTGGGTGGAGAAGTCAACATCCTTATTAAAGGCTGATTAAGAAGCACAGTGGCTGAGCTAAATCTTGTCTTGGTGTATATTCTCTATTCAAAGTTTCAAGTAAAATCTTAAGTGCTGCTATTAAGAGAAACTGCCAACTTGTATAGCTTCAATTAAATATTTTAAGGGGTATCATAATGACTAAATGGCAGATTTCTAGTTTTACAATTCTAATGCATTTTCTCAGGTTTTTAAATTACATTTGGATTGAAATTCAAGTCTAACTTAGTAGGGTTTTTATTTACCAGTGATGCTAAAGTATCCTGTTTATGTTAGTTCCTTTTTTTGACATTTTTTGTAAAAAAACTCATTTATTTAAAGGTGTTTAATAAAAATTACTTTTTTATATACAGAAGAAAAAGAGCTGTTTCATATTGCTGCAGTTCTTTTTAAAAGATACTCTAGAAAGGAAAAGGCTTACCAGTTTAACAGAAAACATTATCTCACAATTGATTGCTATGTGTTAGATTGAATTTGCTATAGCAATAAAAAGAAATTATATTTTTTGTACTAGGGTAAGATTTATGGGAAGTCAACTGATAATTCAGTTGCTGAGTAATATTAGGTTTTATAATGACATCCTTCTCTTTGAGTTTGAGTACATTATAAAGGAAATAAAAATAAGACAAAGAGAAAATTGTACTTCAGAAGAAGGTTTTAGATTATTATTTCTTTCTAGCAACTATTTGCACTCATCATGTATTTTGCATGGTGTTTATCAAATCTGCGTAAATTATTGTTAAAAACAAATTCAGAGTGGAACTATTTTGTGTAAGGACAATTTCTGTTGTACTGTTTCAGTTCAGAAAGTCAGAAATCTTTTCTTCCTCTGCTTTTGAGTTCCAGTCTAGCAATCGGAGCTGCACGGTCAATCCTTTGGGATTGTGCCGAGCCCCATTGACTTCATGGCAATGATGCGTGGGTGTAAACATTCATCTGTGCAAATCTATTTGCAAGATTAAGGTTAATGTGCCTTTTTGTGCTGGACTTCTTTACCTAGTGTTTTGAATAGAGCCAAAGAAAATGTGGCTAGTTTAGGTATATTACTAATGAAACGGCAAACAAGTTATTTTATTTTTGTGTGCATCATCCTTGATGCTAGCAGAACTGCCTAGAGCAAATTAAATAGTCTTTATAAGTAAACAAGGATGTTAAAGCATTTTTTGTTTTCCATAAATTCTGGGAGCTAAAATGTACAAGCTGCTGCACAACCCTACCCTTATCCAGCACCAAACATTCAAACCTGCATCTAGCTTCAGCTGGGAAGTGAGAAGCCTAACACAAAAAAAAAATCTAACAGAAAAACCAGCAAAGGAGCTAAGGTTTATTATAAACTCAGCAGTAAAACTTGGACTTCTCTAAGGTCATTTGGAAAAAGTCATTGGACTTCATTGATGCCAAATAGTGGAACTCGCAGTGGAACTGCACTGCTCATAGAGTTAAGCGGTGCTGATGTGTTTGGCAGAATCAGCACCTGAAATCTTCAACAGCAAGGGCATATTTTTCTTTTCATATTAGCTCCTTACAATTCGGTAAACAGGTTTAGAGAAAACAAGAGTAATATATTTATAACAGGTTCTCTTTGTCCTTGTAATAGTTCTGGCGTAGCTTCGGTATTGGATGCAAAACTCTGTGCTTGGTTAAATGAAAAAAGATGCTAGGTTATGACCCCATGTTAAATTTTGAATTATGTTCCAACCTCTTTTGTTTGGCTTTCTAGATTAAGCAAGATTATGACATGAAAACAGGCGTTGTAAGAATTCAATAGATTTTCTGATTTGGGTAACAAAAATAGTTAGATTAGATGCAATTGGTTTTTTTCCTATTGTTTTCTAAATTGTTCTTAAATCAAATATAGAACCTGGAAATCAGATTCCCCCCAAAATAAGAAATTTCTCATTTTATGGAAGCATATGAATGCTTTCTAACACCTGAGCCAGATGCACAGAGCAAAATGCATCCCCAGTGATGACTGCAGTTTGCCTGAATACTCCACTGTTGACATTTTCAAAGCATGTTGGTATATCCCAGAGAAGCATAGAGGCTGCACTGGCTGCGCAGAGCAAAGGTTCTACTTCGGTTTATGAGGAAGAATAATGTATGTATCAGCCTGTGTTCTTTGTCTTTGAATGCTCTTTTCACTGCTGGTATATTACTTTTATAGCTATTAATTTACTGATTTTCACTATTCATGTTATTTGAACGATTAGGCTGCACTTTGCGCGTTTTTACTGACTGGCATCTCCCCTCTTTTGTTCAGCTGCAGGCTGCTGAGAATGAGAAGGTGAGATGGGAATTGGAGAAGACCCAACTCCAGCAGAACATTGAGGAGAATAAGGAAAGGATGATGAAATTAGAGAGTTATTGGATTGAGGCACAAACCCTGTGTCACACGGTGAATGAGCACCTCAAGGAGACGCAAAGCCAGTATCAGGCTCTGGAGAAGAAATATAACAAGGCAAAGAAATTAATCAAGGATTTTCAGCAAAAGTAAGCAGCTACGCCAGGCTCAGCAAATGACTTAGTGGCCAGATAGGAAACATATATGTGCTATATTTTGAAATATGAAACCCACTATTAAACACCTGTAAGGTAAACACTATTTTTCACTTTTTTTTCCATGAAAAACATGGGCTCTTTATTATGGAAAAATGTTAGTAGTATTCAAGTATTAGTTAGTATTGTTGAAAAATGCTATAACTAAATAAAGACTTAGCCTGTGGTATTCCAGGTTGGAATGTTTCAGAATTACTAGATAACTCAATGTGATTGCAAGCAACCAAGAGTAATCATAGTAAAGCATTTGATGAGCAAGGTTTGCAGCAATTTATATTGGTATTGTGTCAGCTGGGTTCACTCCTGTTGTGTACTAATGTAACGTCAAAAAGAAAATTGTTTTGTTACATTTTACATTTTATTTTTCTTCTTCTTGTAGATGCCAAGAATGTTTGAGCTGAGTTGAGCTAACTGATGATTACCTGGCCCCCTCTATTTCATGTGGTCCCCTATCCCTGATGGCTAGCAAGAATAATAACATCTTACATTTCTGTAACAGCTTCCATTCCCCCAAATTTCTTTTTTCACAGCAACTTTTTCATTTTCTGCTGAAATATACTTATTTAAAGAAGAAAATTCAAAAACATACCACAATGTCAAGTGACAACTGAGAGTGCAGAAGTGAATATCCTGTCCCATTAAAAAGGGTTTTAGATAGTCAAAATGTCATTTCCCGTCTTGGAATTTCATGACTGTTCCAGAACTAGCTGACATCTTGTGTACTTTCTATCACAAACATCTTAATTTTTCAAAATAAAAAGAAATAGGGAAAATAGCTAGAATGAGCTTGGATATCCTTTCTGTTGTTATTCTGCTTTATATTGGTAAGAGATCTAGTCAGTTGTTTTTAACTATCTCAGACGCCTAAAATCACCTAACAGATTTCCTTATAGCTTACTAGAAAATTAGATTTGTACCTGGAAACTTATGGATGTCCTTTTTGTGAAAGAATGCAGTCATCCTCTAATAAAACAGAGATTTTGCTCCATTTTCTACAACAGAACACGGCATAAACTAAGCTAACGTTGTTTTCCTTGTAAATACAGGATATGAAAAAATTAGTTTAACTGTTTTGATTAACAATTAGAACAGCTGAGATTTTTTTTTCCAGATAAATTCCTCTTACCATTTTTGTATCTTCACCTAGCTTACTCACTTAGACTAAGTAATTGTTTAGGGTTTTGTTCTAATTGCAGTTTCATACTTCTTACTAGGTTAGTAATAAAATCTTTGTTAAGGACAGATTTTTCTGATGCATAGCTTAAGATATATCAGAACATTTTATTTTCTGTTTGAATCTGATTGCTTTGATGACAGCAAATACATCTTTTTTTCCCTAAGAGAACTTGACTTCATCAAACGCCAGGAAGCTGAACGAAAGAAAATAGAAGATTTGGAGAAAGCACACCTTGCAGAGGTTCAAGGCTTACAAGCTCGTGTGAGTAGTATTTACTCTTATGTTTGAAGAATGAAACGATTCTGTCTGATATTCTGGAAAAAAAACACGGGGGGGGGGTGTTATGGGTAACACTGTGTTGTATTTCTTTCAGATACGAGACTTGGAAGCAGAAGTTTTCAGGCTAATGAAGCAAAACGGGAGCCAGGTCAACAATAACAACAACATTTTTGAAAGGCAGACATCTTTTGGAGAAGTTTCTAGAGGAGATCCAGTGGAAAATCTAGATACTAAGCAAGTGTCCTGCCTGGATGGCTTAAGTCAAGGTTTGTTTGAACCAAACCATAACTCCTATTAATATGTATGCAAATAGCATGGTTATCATTTAGGATTTAAAAGAAACAATTAATAATGCAGAGATGTTGTTATTTTTCCGAAATTCAGTATCTAATGACAGCTGTATCAGGGTTATACCAAATAATGCCAATACAGAGTCCCAGAATAGCTGTGCAAGGTATATTCTTAAAGAAAGGGAAATGACTAAGTGCTAATAAAGCAAAGATCATTATTGATTTCTTAAAGCTTTCAGTGGGATGCCATCAACATTTAGGTTTAATTCAATGCTTCTGTTATGTTAATAAAGTATGTTCCTAAATCTGTCCTTAATTACCCAACCACCAAAGATCAAACAAGAACAAAGTTACCAGAATGAGAGAAACAATGTTAAATCTACCATTTTGAATGGATCTCTGCAGGTTCTGATCCCACCTCGGTACAGACATCAAAAGGAACCGTGTAGGTGGCACTCACTGTTTCTCAGGATGGAGCCTTTTGTGAATAAAATGCAAATTCTTTACTAACACATTAATTAAAAATCTTATTCAGCTATAGCACAGCCTGATTTACAACATAAGACTTGTAAAACTTTGTTCTGTATTACCAAAGAGCCAGAACAATTTGTGGCAACACTGAGATCTGGATAGATGCTGTCAGCATGGTGACTGTAACCTTTACTTGTTTTGCATAGAAAAGATAATTCCCATTTTTCCGGCTGTGCCAGTGAAAATATACAGATAACTTCCACAGCTTCAGTTAAAGTTCTGTAATTGCAAGTGGCTCCTCACTGTTGAAGTATATGCAGAATTAAAGCCAATTTTAGGTCCACAGCCTTGGAACAAAATTGTTTGGCTCAGGAGCAATACTTACTGTGTATTCAGTAACATATGTGAAATCAGTGTCGGAGGTGTTGGGATTCTGACAAGGGAGCACCAGGCTCTGTTCCTATATAGATTTTCATTTTAAATAAACCATAATATCATTCATTTCTCTGGTGAAAAAAAATGCATTACATTACCAAATAAATTAATTTCTAGCAAGCACAGAGATGTTTTATTAAAATTGATATTTTAGCAGTTATTTCATGTGTGGACCAAAACTGAATATTGCTCTACAAACAGATCAATATGAATTACATTTTTAAGTATGTGTATAAAAAAGAGCTAGGCCTGCTGAAACGGTATTTGAGTGATCTGCAGACTTTATGGAATTTGTTTCCACAAATCTTCACAGAGCTGTTCTTTTTAGAAAGTGTTTATTATACTGAAATCTCTGAAGTTCAGAAAAGCGCTCAGGATGACAAGAAAGTCTGTATTTCTGCCATAAAGACTCAGTACGTGTTACAAAATATTTAATACTTAGCAACACTGATAACAGAAACCCCTTCAGTAGTTTGCATCAGAAGAGGAAAGTATGTTTTTCTTTACCTGACTCACAAAACTCATGTTTACATTTACTGTTGTGGCAATGTCAACACATATCCATGGCTCAAGAGCTGAAATCCAGGAATTTCTACATGTAAAAAAAAAATTCTGTGTAAAAGTCTTTCTAAAAATTTGAAAATTCTTCCTAAAGCATTAAAACTCTGCGTGTCAGTACTTTCAAATTATATCTTTGCATGAAAATTTTAAATTTCCAAGAGCTGCCATTCCTCATTGCAAAAACATTCCCCTGGGGCAATTATACCAGTGTTCAGTACTTCTGAGAGTTAGAATAGACAATCTGTGAATTTAAATGCCCAAGTTTAACCACCTGAATACAAACACAAATTATTTACTAGGAAAAATAGACAATCAGCAGTGATTTTTTGAAAGCAGAAAAAGCATAGTTAGACCTTAGATTCCAGGCTGGATTTATGTTTTTAACAAGAGAAAAAGAAAAGCCCTTTTTTAAAATGAAGAGATGCCTAAACATGCTGCAGTGCTCTTTGACTTCCATATACCTTTGCCAGTAAATTCTGTATCAAAGTCTCTGAAGTCTGTCTCAGACAGTAATGTAGTGATTCTTGCTCTGCAGAGAAAGAGCCTATGTCTCCATATCACCCTGGTGTAAACCTTTTAAGAAAAGGACTTGCCATTGTCTAGTAATAATAATCACTGATAATAAGTGTATTTACTAATCACCCCATGGATGTTTGCAGAGGAGCTATAAAGGGCAGGGGAGATGTCCACGATGTCTTTGGAGGGTGAGCGAGTTCCTCCAGGTGCAGTGTGTTGTGCACACTGTCTCTGTGACCTTCATGGAATTGCTCCTGTCTCTCTTCTGAATTTTATTTGGTGAACATAACACGTCTCTTCTTGAGCCTCAGCATTAGGTTTGTGGGGTGGGACTGCGTATACGCAGCCACATCCCGTAATTTTTATTCTGAAGTTTGCAGGTCTGTCTTCCCTCAAAAAATCAGGTTATATAAAAAAATATATTTTAATTCAAATGATGCTAAGTATGTTTTTTGCTTCAATGTGATCTGAGGTGTTTATTACATTCTTCTGTGGCAATAGATTTGGGAAGAACTAATGGATGCGACTTGACGGTCACATACATACAAGCATAGCTGTCCCTGCCGCTGCAGGTGCTCCGGCCGTGTTTAGCATCATGCCAGACTGTACGACTCCTCAGGCTGTAACATAACCTCACACTAAGTTTGAGGGGCTGCCAGTAACATCAGTGGAAGTTAGAAAGAGAAAATCAAAACCACGGAGTTCTTCCTTTGCTTTGCCAGGGAATACTAGAAGCCTGAGGACTGTGTTTCTTTTACAAATCTATGACTTATTCTGAGAGTCCAGAAAAATAGATGAAGTGCATTGTAGCTTTCTGGTTTAGTGGTCATGAGCTGTGTCTGCACTAGAGAATCAAACTGTTTACTGGAAGGAGTCAGTGGTTTGAAATCTAAACAGTTCAGTGCTTTGACAGTATTTGCTCATCTCTGTGCAAATGCCCATTCAAGCTGCTTTGATGGCTCTACTTTCTGGGTGCCTTGGGATACCCAGGGATGCATCAGTTCACAGAGGGAGATTTTGAAATCTATCAGTCTGTATAATGGAAAAACAGTGGGAGGACAGGCGAACACTTTCCTGCTCCGCAGTGGTACTGAAATAATTCAGATGGAAGCCCATTGGAGTCAAAGTGTTTCAGCGCCTGCTGAAAGAAAATCTAATTACATCGCCTCCAAGAGCAAAATAAAACCTGTTATAACTGTCATGTGAGACATTTATCAGGCTCCCCAGTGGGCTGGGAGATTCCTAGACAAACATGTGGGGTGCATGTTTGTGCCAGGGAGCGGTGAGGGCTGGCAGCTCTCTGTGGAAGAGGGAGCTGGGACTGAGTGACAGCACGTGTGGCCAGGGCAGAGACCACCCGGCAGCAGCCCAGTCCTGCTGCACCCGAGTCTGGCGAGCAGGGCAGGTCCAGTGATGGAAACGGGGGTCAGCTGGGAGCCCAGGCAAGTTCATGGTGGGGAAGCAGGTCCAAGGGCAAGCCAGGAGGTCTGTCCGTGGGCTGTTACTCAGGTCCGGATCCACAGGGTGCATGGCCTGAGAGTGAGAGCCCAGCTTACATGCAGTCTCTGATGAGGAAGGAGCCATTAATCATGCTCTATGAGCTCTTTCTCTGCAGTAGGCTGAACCACGGTTAGGTACCTGCAGCACAACAGGGAGCTGCCATTGAGCGCGAGCAGCCCAGCTCTGGGGTGGAGGGAGCAGTAAGCTCCAGGCCCAGGTGGTGTTTTGCTTCAACAAGGCCAATACGACCACTTAAGTGAATAAGTGTTTGCAGTGCTATGTCAATAGTTTGCATAATTTCAGCAGTGAAAGGAAGGGCTGTATGAAGTGCATACACCTGAAAGACCAAATACAAGCAGTTCAGGTCATAGCAATGTGCAGTTACCCTATCAAGTACTTACGGTGGAAGCATAATTACAAGTCAGACAATGCTATTGATTCTGTAGTGTCATCTGCATGTAGAGTTCAACTCTTACACAAAGAAGAAAACCAAAACATGGTACTGGAAGTCTTTGCAGTGCTTTAAGACACCATAAATCTGCAAAAATAAAAATGAGTTCGAGCCTTACCCCTCAGTTATTTACTGGCTCACAAACTCAACATGTGGCTCTGATTTCAAGAGACAGTTTGAGCTGAACTGACAGATTATTACTGTTGAAATGGGAGACTCTGCGCCATCCCTGACTTTGTCCAGCAACCTGGTTCTGCCTCTTCCATTGCCCTGTTCCAGCACTTACACACCGATTCACTGAAACAACAGAAAACTGATTTAAGAGGGGAAGAGGTTGGAGTATCAGACTGAAATTGGATAGTTTCTGCTGGGTCAATCATTTGAATCAGCAAGCTGCAGTCCAAATTCGGGGGGGAGGAGGGTGTCACTCAGAGCCAGGGGTTGGGACAGCAGGAGGGAGAGCAAGAGCTCTCCATTTTGGTGGTGGTGGTGGTGGTAAGTAACTGAGTCGGTTCCACCCTTGGTGAAATTGCATTCTCTGAGACCGAAGGTCAGGATACTATGGAAAGCAATGGGAAAAATTTCAGCTTTGCTCAAGTTGGTCAGAGTTTCTTCGTTAGTTTCAGTGAGGCTAAGATGTCTCCATTTATTATTTTGCTTTTGTTTAAAGCAAAAATGTCTGTAAAATCCGCTTCTAATTAATTAGTGTGTTACGAATGCAGTACTTGGACAAATAAATCTAACAAATTCTGGTTTGATTTGTACTATGAGGATTGCAAAAAGAAAAAAAGTTAAAACCATAAAGTATCTATTCCTTGTCTGGTGTATATTGTGAAAACACCTTTTAAAATGTGTTTTGTCTTACTGCAGATTTGTAAAATGTTAGCTTTGCTGAAATACTCAGATTTCATTTGAGTGGATGATTGATAGCTAGGAATAGTGCAGTTATGTTAGCTCTATTTGTAGAGGCAAGCCATATATGAACTCTTCAGTATACTTTGCTGACAAGACATTCAGGAATAGGGTGGCTTTGAACCTAGGCAGGTAAGATGGTTTCATTGTTCCATTTTTTGTATGAAATATTTATCCAGTTTTCATGTATCACATAACAGTGTTTGGGCAGTAGATGGAAGGGGAAAGATCTGAAACTGCTTTCCCTTCAAAACCAAAGAAATAAGGTTTCATGGTTTTCGCAGCAGAAAGTTAAATGTACAAAGACAACTGAGTAAGCTTGGGAGTGACAGTGTCCAGCTCTTTTCCAATGGTATATAAAAACAGTGCAGCACTGGGGTTTGGGTTTTTTTCCATTTTGTTATTTTAAAGTACACATGGTAGAAGACAACAACTGCACAAACCCCAGATGTTCAGAAAATACAGCAACTTTGTAGAGTTAAGAAGTGGGAGAGTAGAGTGCATCTCCCGGCTTTCGCTCTGATCTTCTGGTGACTCTTTGTTGGGTTTTGTTGGGATGATTACTGCCGCCTTACTGCAGATCTCTCAGAAAGTTTTTGAGCTATTGGATCAGGATAATGACAGATCTAACAGTTCGTGTCCTGCTCAACACAATATAGTTGTTTTCTAATCAGGGAGAACCAGTCCCTTCACTCTTGTACAGATCATGGCCTTCCCATTCCTGCCTTGAACAGCTGTGATTCAGCATGCCTTTCATGGACCTTCTGGATGGATGAATTCCATTTCATTTTCACTGTCATGATAAACTTTATGCAACATCACTGACAGCTGTTTGCAGTGAAAATTTATTTCAGGATTCGCGGGTTGTTCCTGCAAAGCTGTAACACTACCTTGCTAATGATTTTGCCAAAATGTGTTGCTCTTGGAAAGCTGCAGCCAGGTATCTGCAGTAGATGGTGATAATCACAGTAATGATTGCGTCCTCTAGACTCTTGCTTAAGGAAAGGGGCTTGACAGAGTGTCTTCTGATGTGATCCAAGTGCAAGTGAGGCAAGGCTGTATTTGTGTTAGGTCACTCATATCAATCTGTTTGTATGAGGGACCATGATGGTTGGTGCTGACAGAGATGTTTTACTTAAGTTTACCTGAATTTATGTAAATTTTATGAGTTTGAAGGAACTCTGAATAAAAGAGAGAAGAATCTACAAGAGGATGTAATGGTTCTGAAGACAGTGCGGCAAGGGAGGAAGTAACAAATGAGACTGCCAGGTGCTAACAAAAAGATGCTTTTACTTGCAGAAGAATTGGGGTGAACAATTGGGGCACGTTATTTGTATTGTCACATAGAACTCTGAACAACAGATGACCTCAGAATCCAGAGGAGGATTGGGATTCCTCTCTGCTGTCCCCTCCTGAGAGGGACAGTGTGCTAGAGTAAGCAAACTGATTCACTGTCGGTCCAATTGAATGAGTTTAACACTTGTTCATAATCCTGTGAAACGCTACCTGTAAAGCAATCCAATCGCAAATGGTTATCTGATTATTTGGATACTACCTGTATCACTGTGTGCGCTACTGACTGCAGACATTGCTTGCTCATAATTTGCACATATTGTACAAGGTTATTTTGGGGGAGATTCAGTATAGGAGAGACCAAGTCATGTTCTTTAAATTTGTAAGCCATTCTGATTATGATAAAATGTAAAGCGGCCTGAGGACTGCTCTAGATATTTCTTCTGTAATTCAACAAGCAGCCTGCAAAACTGATGAAGTTATAAGGGAAATGCTTAGTGGGGCAACTGTGGGAAAAAATGGCAGTCCAGTCCCTCTTCCTCCAGTGGCTTAAAAGGGCAGGTTTGGGGATAAATTAATTGGTCCCCTAGGTCTAAATTGGTATATTCATCCAGATGCTGGAAAATGTCTGTCAAAGAGCAGTGAGATGAGGATTCCTTTGCTATATGCCCCGATGGAGGAGAACTCTCTCTGCAGGCCAAGCTCATGCAAGTCCCTGTGAGGGAGTCAAAGTGGACCTGCTTTCTGGGCTAGTACAGCTGGTTTTGTGTGGTCCTTCACGTAACAGTGGGAATCATTTGTTGAGTTTTTAAATATTTGCAGTTGATTCTTTGCTATGCACTTACTGGATCTGTATAGATAAACTCTTTAATGGTTTATGCAAATAACTTTTTTTTTTTTTTGCATGTGTACTTTTAACAGTTATGAAGATACAGGTACAAGTAAAACACGCAAAGTGCATGTACTCGCAATTGCAGGTCTTGTCTTAGGAAAAAGTAGTGATAGATTCGTCTGTTAAATAGCTTCAAATCATGTTTCCGTACAGATTTCAATGAAGCAGTGCCAGAAACAGAGAGACTGGACTCTAAAGCTCTGAAGACTCGAGCTCAGCTTTCAGTGAAGAACAAGCGGCAGAGGCCTTCTAGAACAAGGCTGTATGATAGCATCAGTTCAACTGATGGAGAGGACAGCCTTGAACGAAAGGTGAGAAGGACTCTGCCCTCTCTTTCAGGCTTCCTATGGAGGGCTAGATTGCCCCCATAAGTCATTTCATCCTCTGTCTTTGTCCTTTCATTGTAGCACAGGCAGTATTTTTTCCTCTGTGGCCAGTATGCTATGAATGTACTTGAGTGATGTGTGAGTCCGGTCTCCTTTGAGTCAGCACACCTGTTTTTTAGGTTTTGTTGTGTCTTATTTTTTAACAGGAATCCTGAGCTTTCTGATTTATGTGTGCTTTATAACGCAGAATGGGTCCTTTCATTTATGCAAGAGGTTGAAGGAACTTGAATCGTGCATTTCTCTATTTGTTAATTTGTTAACACAATTGATATGATATTCACTTGTCATTTTGTCCTATTCTGACTTCTGTCTGAAAGCAAATACCAATAAACAACACTGTGTGTGGTATCAAAAGGTAATGGCATGAATTACTACAGCGTTTCATACAAATAGAAGGCTAAATAATGAATAAAAGAGTTGCATGTTCAAAGTAAACCTTGCTCTGATTGGTTACTAAATGGTATAACCTGCTTTATAATCTCTTATACCAACAGCCGTCAAACAGTTACAGTAGTCCCATGCACATTTCAAAATCACCACTGCCCTTATGCATGAGAGCATCCTCACCAGCATCAGATTCTGGTGCTTCCTCCCTCTCCCCCGTGGCTAGCAGTGCAGCAATCTCACTTGACAACCTAACTGAAAACCAAGAAGAAGGACAGCACCACAAAGGAGGTGTCCTTTCCCCGCATGCTCGGGGAGACACTCCGCTTTCCTCTCCTTCAAAATCTGGGCACAGCTCTGAAGCATCTCCTTTGCATCACCCAGCTGGCAGGAATATTTTACAGGAGAAAGGTATTACTATTTTTTACAATAAATTGATGCATCGTTTTGCTCACTTACATCTACTTCATGAACTTTTGTTGTGTCGTAGGACCTTAGCAACTAAAAGGCTGTCATCTCATAACTTCTTTTGTTTACCTGGAAGTCAAAAATTACAAATGACCTTGTATGATGGTATAAGAAAAGGAGAAAGTTTAAAATGAGATCGGGAACTGCTTCCTTTGGGTTTTTTTTTCTTTCTTGAAACTCAATGAAAAAGCTAGGGGGAAGTTGCCTTTAAGAAAATCTTGTATTTTGTTTTAAAAAACCCAAATTATTTGACCTTGGGACACTTCTGTATTAGAAACATGCTTTTTTTGGAGGGTGGGGAAAGGAGTGTAAAGCAAGAATAACAGATTGTCGCTTTTAGTTGCTGAGAGGCAGCATAGTCTAGATTAAACAAGAGGTTAGTGTCTGGAGACTCCTCATTTACAGAAAAAGAATATCAAGTAACTTGTTGAGGAGGTTGGCCGCACTGTTATTTATTTAATTTAGATTCTTTAAATGTAAGCTGGATGAAACCTGATGCAATCATACATAGCTCAGGTACATGTTTCAGATACCAGTTTATTAAATGCATTAACAATATGATATGGCACAGAATACCGAGTCCTCCTTTTCAGATGCCTTGTGAAATCAAAATTAGTATTTTACACAACTTCAGCATTGTTAGCTATGCACCTTGCATTCTCTAACTGTCACATAAGCTAAAATACGTCATAAAAATGGTTTGTAAGTGAGGACTGCGGGAATAGGTCCGGACAGGTTCATAACAGACTTTGGCTTACTTAAATTAACCAAAAAGAACAATTTGTTGAGGACTTTTGTTTGTCTGTGTGTCTGAAAAGACTTGCCACTGCTTTACAATCTATTTTTTTCTTCATCTTCATACAGGCTTTCACACAGATTCCTAAAAGACAGATTCATGAAGTTTTGTTGAATTTAGGATAGGTTAATATATGCTAGCATTTTTACATGGGTTCTGAAATTGTTAGTCTAACTGTATATTTTCTAATTGTTTAATTGTTAATGAATCAAAGTTAAATTCAACATTTGAGTTTTGCAAGTAAAAATAAGGGTATGAACATAAGAACGTGTCTTTCCAAATTTGTACTTCAGCTTGAGTGTATGATTGGTTGATCAGTGAAGTCATAAATCCTGCATTTCCAACTGATGTATGAAAAATATCTTGATAAAAATTTAGTGGAGACTAGCCTTGTAGTGTAAGGAATAGGGTATTATATTCCACCCACCCTGTCACTCTTTC